TTCTAGTGGCCACATTAAAAATAGTAAAAAGAAAGTTATACTATTAAATATATAAAAATGTAATTTTCTCTATTTCTTTTTACTATTTTTAATGTGGCCACTAGAAAAAAATTAATCACACATATGTGGTTCACATTACATTGTTTTTGGACATGCAGTGTGGAGAAGCATAGTTGTTATTATCCCCATTTTAGAGTGACAGAAAAGGAGGCACAGACAAGCTAAGCAACTTGCCCCAAATCACACAGCTGACCCAGGGCAAGGCTTCAGAATCAATAAGAAGTGCCTCCTCACTGTTCCTGCCCCACTTCCTGCCCCGCCCAACGCACAGCCCAAAAGTTGGGGATATAAAACCTAGAGTGTGCAGGCCAGCTCTGGAGTCAAGCCAAGAAACGCCTGGAGGACTCATTTCACCACTCCGCCATGACAGGCGTCTATCTTGGAAAAGGTCTGTGATTTCCCTAAAGCACAGTAGGCTAGTCCTTCCCCTTACCTGCTCCACAGGTTCAGCCCAGAGTCCCTCTCCCCAGGCCAAGCACAGCACTGACAGTTGCCCATGGACTTGACTTAATAAGGCTTTGGAATCTCCCGGGTCATGCCTTCTCCCAGCTGTGTGACTTTGGCCAACTCCCTTAGCCTCTTCAAGCCTTAGTTCCTTCAACTGTGAAATGGGATCCTGGACCATCTCTGGGGTTTATGTGAGGAGTTAGTGGGATAGTACCTGGTACTGGCACAAAGAACATGCTCAGTGCCAAATAAAGACCTCCCTAGTTACCTGAGATTCTCACCACCCTCTGAACACTGGAAGTCAAGGCCAGCCGGCTGGGAGCTCACAAACGTGTGCAGGTGAGACAGCTCCAAGGCCTGCCACATGTCTTCCTCTGAGTAATTGCCGAAGGGGTCCAGGTTCATACGCAGGGTCCCCGAGAATAGGATGGGGTCCTGGGAACACAGCAAGACCTCAGAAGGAGCCATGGGGCCTGGGTCCAGGGAAAAGAGAAGGATTGAGGTCTCCCTTTCCCACTCTGTCCTAAGCCCTCCAGGAGGGAGGCAATGTCACGCAGACAGAGAAAGTGCATGCTGGGAAGCGATACACTCAGCTTTGCCAGTCACAAAGTTCTCTGTTAAAGCAGGGACCAGAGCCACTAATCTGACTCCAAAGTGTCCAGTCGGCAGAAAGAATACCCAGAGGAGCTCAAAAAAGTGAGATATAATTTAGCGGTGTGCAAAAAGGAGACCAGGGCACATCCCAGGGATGGGGAGCTTGCGGGGGATTCCTCTGGTCTTGCCCCACTTGTCCCAGGATGTCACAAGGCAGGGTCCAACTGGGTCACCATACATCTGGCTCTTCCATTTTCTCAACTATGGTGGCTCCTCTGTGGCTGTGTTCCCTGCTGTCCACCCTCAGCTTCAATCCTTAAGCTACAGAACTGGGGGTGGGCCTGCCCCCAGAGCCATTGGTCGCTACAGCCAGTCCGTGTCAGACTCATACCTGAGGGATGATGGTCAGCTGAGAACGCAGGTCATGGAGCCCAATGTTTGCCACATTGAGGCCATCGATGCAGATTTCACCCTCCGCTGCCTCAAGAATGCGGAACAGGCAGAGGGTCATGGATGACTTGCCGGCCCCCGTGCGCCCCACGATCCCCACCTGGAGAGGATGGGCAAGAGGACTGTCACAGGGAGGCTAAGGAGTCAGAAGGGGCTGGGAGAGCCCAGGGAGGTGGGGATGTCCCCAGGACTCCCCTAGAAAGGCCACACAGAGGTCTGAGCTGGACACCTGTTCTCTCAAACACCCAAGCTCCCCCCAAAAGCTGTGGTAGTCCCACGCCCTGGCACAAGTATGCACTCTGCCGTCCCAACCCACAATACCTTCTCACCACCATGCACGCACAGATTCAGGTCCTTCAGAACCAGGTCCAGGCCTGGCCGGTACCGCACAGAGTAATTCCGGAACTCCACTTTGCCATGTGGAGGCCAGCCCTCTGGGGGGCGGCTGCCCTCCACCACCCAGGGGGCCTGGACGTGAGAGGTCGGGCATTAAGGCAGCACTTCTTCCCCAGCCTGGCCTTCTCCCTCTTTCAGCCTCCCTCTCAACTAAACCCCCTCAATCCTCACCTATTGTGGTCCCTGATGGAGGGCATCTGGCACCCCTGTGTCTAACCCTGTAGCTCAGCAAACCCTTTACCCTCTGTGGCTGCTCTAAAATGTCCCTCTCCTGCCTCCTCTACTTCCTGTTTGTGCCCTGTGTTCCTGAGGTGCCTTGTCCCTGCCTGCCCTAGTGCCCACTCCATTCATTATTACTGAGTGGCTACTCTATGCCAGGCCCTAGGGACACGATGGGGAACAAGACACAGTTCTTGCCTCTATGAGCCTCATATTTTAATAGGGGGAGCACACAATCAACAATAAGCACATCTTAGGTGATGATACTTGAGAATGAGAACTATTTGGTGTTGCTGGTCTATATATGGTAGTCAGGGAAGGCTTCCTGGAGGAGGTGATATTTGAGTCAAGTCCTGACAGAGGTGAGGGCACAAGTCAAGTGAATATATGGGGGAAGGGTATTCCAGCATAGGGAACAGACAGTGCAAATACCCCTGAGTGTGTTTTGGAGCACAGTGAGAAAGACAAGAGGGAGGGGCCTGAGGTAGTGAGTTGGCTCCATCATATAGGGCCTTGAAGGCCATTTCAAGGATTTTGGGAGTTCTGGTAGCATACTGGCTAAGGCACTGGACTGCTAACCAGAAAGCTGGCAGTTCAAACCCACCTGCCACTCCTTGGAAGGAAGATGGGGCAATCTACTTCCACAGTGATACTGCCTTGGAAATCCAAGGAAGGGTCGCTATGAGTTGAGTTCAACTTGACGGCACATAACAACAACAACAGCAACAAGATACAGCACGGTTAGAAGGCAGTTCACAGAGGAGTAATGTGATTTGGTGTGTTTTTAAAGGATCCTTTTGGCTGCTATGAGGAAAATAGACTGGGAGTGGGGAGGGAGGGTAGAAATAGGGAGATTAGTTAAAAGGCTGCTGCAATAGGCTGGGCATGAGATGATGGTAGCTTTGAGGCAGGACCAACTACATAATTTTCAGGACCCAGCACAAAATAAAAATGTGAGGCCCTTTGTTAAAAAATTATTAAGAATTATGAGGTGGCAACAACACAGCATTAAAGCAAGTGTGAGGTCTTTCTAAGCCACAGGCTCCTTCTAACCATGGGATCCTATGTGACTGCACAGGTCACATGCTCATAAGCCAGCCCTGCTTCGAGGCAGAGGAAGCCAGACTGCTAGTGGTCAATAAGCAAAGTCAGTGTAGAACACTTGTCTCCAAGAAAAGAGAAGGTAGCAGAGTGGAAGACAGAACATTTTGGGACAGGAAGAGAAGATCGTTTGTAAAGACATGGGACAACTGGAATAGGGCCACTGGTAGCTCAGTGGCTGAACTCGTGCCTTCCATGCAGGAGACCTGTGTTCAGTTCCCAGCCAATGCACCTCATGTGCAGCCACCACTCCTCAGTGGAGGCTTGTGTGTTGCTATGATGCTGAGGAGCTTTCAGCAGAGTTTCCAGACTGACAGACTAGGACAAAAGCATGGCAATCTCCTTGCCAAAAAAAAAAAAAAAATCAGCAAATGGAGCATTACTGAACATTCTGATCAAAAATTCTAGAGAAGAATACTGATCAAAAGGGGGAAAATGTAGAACAGAATTTCAAAATACCAAATCCAGACTTTCTAAAGTCATTGCAGCTGGATGAGTCCCTGAAACTATCGTCCTGAGATAATCTTTAAACCTTGCACCAAAAAATATCCCCTGAAAATATAAACAATGGTTTAGCTTAATTAGTAAAGAATGTCTGCTTTGAACATTGTGCTCTTTTAAAAACTATTGTTATGGGATCAAACTGACAACAGCAACTCAAAAGATCAGCTAGCAAACTTAGGGGGCAATGAGTTTATGTTAATGAGGAGGAACAACTGAGAAAATAAAGGTGAGATTGCACAAGTTGAAGAGTGTAATCAGTGTCATTGCATTATACATGTAGAAATTGTTGAATTGGTGTATGTTCTGCTGTGTATATTCTCAACAACAACAATATACATTTTAAAAAAGAAGAAAACCCCATGGGACAGAACAGTCCGATCTACTTGTGCATGATATGACCGTGGGTCAGGGATTGGCTCGGCAGCAGTTAACAACAGCAACATCCAGGAAGAGGGAGAATGTGAAGATCCAGAGAGGGGAGAGAGATGACGCATGATGCCTGGGAAGGATGGAGACCACAGGCATGGAGAGTCCAGACCAGAAGGAACAGTGGGCCAGGGAGAGCATGTAATGGAGGCTGACTGACAGGGGAAGAGCAAGGGTCTCAGAATCCATGAGACAGAGTTCCAAGAAGGAGGAAAGGGTCACGTCATCTGAATGTCACTGAGAGGTTAGATGAGGACAGAAAAGTGTTCCCTACATTTGGGACCTGGGAGGTCACTGGAGAATACTTCCAGTGGAGTGATGGGAACAGAAACCAGACTGCAGCAGGCAGATGAGGGAAAGGGAAATGAGGACAGGGAGAGAACCGAATACTTGTTATTCCCTCTGCTGGAACACCCTTCCCCCGATATCCACATGGCTTGAGCCCTCACCTCTGTCAGGACTTGACTCAAATATCACCTCCTCCAAGCAGCCTTCCCTGATCAGCCTGTATAGAGGAGCAGCACTATGGACATCTCATTCCTAAGTATCGTCACCTTCTCACGTAATGAAGAGATGTTTACTTGTTGATTGTGTGTGTCCTCCTACTAGAGAATGAGACTCATGGGAAAATGAGGATGCAGGTTGTTCATATCTAGTATTCCCATTTTTAAGCAAGTTTACAATGAAGGAGAGCAGAGGATGGGGCAGTAGCTGGCATGGGATGTAGGGAAAGGAAAAGTTTATTTGGTTTGTCTAGAATGAGAGATACGATGGCAATTTGCAGGTGGACAGGAACCACCCAACAGAGACGGAAAGACTCATGCTACAGATCAACAATGTAACTGAGGAAGTCAAGTCCTTGAGGGGCCATGAGAAGAAGCAGAGCCTGGACTTTGAAACAAGGAGGGATATTTTCTGTTAAAAGAGAGGAAGAAAAAGGTGAGGGAGACTGAGGCAGGCTTGAAGGTCTGGAGGCACAAAGCGAGCAAGAGTTCACATCTTATGACCTGTTTTCTCACTGAGTGGCAAGCAAGGTCCACAGCTGAGCCCAAGGGAGAAGATGTGGAGGGTTTGAGGAGAGAGAATGTTGAAACAGCTCTCTCTGAAAGTGGGGACACATGCTTATAGGAGAGGCCAACTAAGAAAGACAGTAAAGTCAAACCAGTGATGGTCTCCAGCAACACTTTAGCTCCTCAGTGCAGTCAGGTAGACAGAAGAAGACAGAAGATGGGCTTACCTAGGCTTGAGATTTTGTAGAGTACAATTGAGAGAGAGAGAGAGAGAGAGACAGACAGAAAGAGAGAAGGGCAAGAAAATTGAGATCATTTGTGTTGATGGAACTTAGAATCTAGGCTGGATGGGCAGGAGGTGAAGCCAGGAGGAACTGATGGAGAGGGACAAAGGCAAGGTCCCAGCACTGCAGCTCTCCATGAGGACAAAGTACTGCAACAGTAGGTGACATGTGGGCTGGGAGAGATGGTCTAAAAGTGGGACATCTGACACTGAGATCTCAGAGATGGTGTGGCTTCTGGCATGAAGAGGTCATGGTGTGGCTATGGGAAGGGGGGGGGTGGATAAAAGTAGAGGGCAACTCCATTTCTCCAACAAAGGTCATGCCATCACCAGTCTGCTCCTTCAACCAGTCTGATCTCTTTGGTTGGAATGCTCACTTTCCCATTGCCTTCCCCCTCCACACCCTACCATTTTACTTAGTCTATCAAAACCCGACTATCCTTCAAACCTCAGCTGGCCTTCCAGATCACCCCAGCTGAAATGATCCCCCCTTATCTGCCCTCTTTGGGGGCACCAGCCCTGACCTCTTGCCACTGCAGAGCCCTCAGTATGTCTTATCTCCCCCACTAGATCAGAATCTGCTTGAGGGCAGACCCTGTTTTGCTCAACTCTGAACCCTTTACAACTCACAGCATAGAACTGGACCTCTGACTGATGCTCAGTGAGATCTTTGTGGATGAATGAATGAATATATGAATAACTGAACAGCTGGCCATGGGGTATAAGGATGGCAGGCCACTAAGTTACCTTCCTCAGGTATTCCAGATACATCCCCAGGCTCATCCTGGTACCCACCTCAGTCTCCATCTTGGTGTACTCCTTGACCCTCTCCACAGCCACAATATTAGACTCCAAATCTGACATCATTCGTATCATCCAGGTCAGAGCAGATGTCACCTGGCCAAAGGGACTGGATCATGTGAAGGGAGAACTCCTCCATACACCACCACCACCACACACACAACAGCTTTAGGAAGAACCCAGACCCTCCACTCATGTTCCTACCCCATCTACCACCATCTATCCCATCTATGACCCAGGCAGGCCTGGACAAGCTTACAAATGTGCCTCCTGGTGCTCCAACACAACTATGTACCAGGCAGTGGTGACCAAGCCTTAACCAAGGACCACCTAGCCGTTGTTCCTCAAACTTTAATATGCATAGGACTTCCTGGGAATCTTGTTTAAAATGTAGCATGTGGTCCAGTAGTTAGGGTGAGGCCTGAGATTCTGCATTTTGAACAAGTTCCCAGGCGATGGTGATGGTGATGCAGCGGGTCCATGGGCCACATTTTGGGTACCAAGGAGTCTTGATAGAAATGCAGAATCCCAAGACCCACTCCAAGTTTACTAAATCAGAATCTGCATTTTACCAAGATCCCTGGATGATCCACATATGCATTAAGTTGGAGAATACTGGTCTGTCTGGATTGGACTGCTCTTTATTTAGTAAAACACTCAGGACTCCAGCCACCTGAGACACTGAAAACGTGATCTACTTTGCAAAAATTCCAGTTGCAGGACTTCATTCTTTTACAACACAGGCCAGGAGCAGCATAATCTGTCTCCTGTACAGATTTGTGTCCCCAGGTCCCCTTCTCTGAACTTTCTCTGCAGGTATGTAAACATGAGGTGTATTCCAGCCCTACACTCTGTCTCAGGACTTCTGCCAGGTGACCTTCTACTCCTTGCCCATAGCCTGGATATGTTCTATTTGTCCTTTGAAGCCAAGTTCATGATCATTTCTCCAATACCCCAAGCAGAGAAACTTCTCTGGGTTCTCACAGCATTGTGTTCCTCTCTCCACAAAATCCTACTCACCCTGCATTGTGATTGTTGCTGATGCTAGTGTCTCCCCACACTCAACTGTGAACTCCTTGAGCAGAGCCTGGGGCTGGTCCCCATAACAGGCAGAAAGAGGCATTCAGAAAATGCTTGTGACACTTGTGTGGCCTCTGCCCCATTGGAAACCCTGCCCTGGGGACCAGGCCCTCCCATACCTGCAAGGCATAGGACACAGAAAGGCCCACCAGCCCAGGACTCAGGCTGCTTCTCCCAATCACAGCAAAAAGTGCAGCAAAAAATACAACACAGTTCCCCAAGAACTCCACTTGGATCCCCAGCCAGCTGTGGGAGACAAGGCAAGAAGGACATAGGGCAGGTGCAGGAAGGAGGCAATGCTCTGTTTAGGGGGAAGGAGGGATGGGATCCATAGCCCCAGGGTCCCTCCAGCATAGACCTTGTTAAGCTCTTGGAGGAGCAGGGGTAGGGGAAAGAGGCTTCTGACCGGTTGGAGATAATGTAGGCATAGCTGCTCTTCTGGTTGGTGTCCACCTTAGCATCACTCATAGCCACAAAGTCCGGGCTGCGGTTGTAGGCCTGGATGACACTGGCACCACTCACCGTCTCCGAAAAGTGCGAGTAAACGGGTGAGCGACTGACTGATTCCAGCCGCTTCAGTTGTCTCGAGGTGGCCACATAGAAACGCTGACAGGCACGGGAGAAAGAGCTTGAGATCAAGGCATGGAACTCCCAGTTCAGTCCTGCACACCCTCTGAACTCACCCATTTCCCCTTCCTAGCCAGCCCCAAGATCTTCTCCCTCTCCTGCCCTCAAGGACCTACAACACAGCACCCTAACGTGTCTGAACGAACTCTCTTCTCTTTCTTTCTGTTCAGCTATGCTCATTCTTCTAGGCCACTTCCTTTATGAAACCTTTCTGACTCTCTGATCAGAATGGCCCCTCACCTTCTGTGGGAGCCTGGATTATGACACTGACCTTGCTCAGCCTCCCAAGTCAGTGAATATGCCTATCTCCACCTAGTAACTTGCTCACAGTCAAATGCTCTTGCAAATTTTTCAAAAATTAGATAATTTCACATTCTTTTCCTTAAAGAGCTCCTCCCTTGTATTGTTTAAATTTCAGCCCCACATAAACATGTTTCTGCTTCCAGTTCCCATTCTACTCTGTGGGACTCAAGATGGTCAGAGCTGTACAGAATGTGTGGTCTCCAGACACAGGCACTGGGTTTCTATCCACCTCATGGATTACCAGCATCAACCGATTAACTAATTGCAGAATAGGTGCTCAGCCACTGTGAATGCCCTGTGCACTTAGATGTAGCTGTGTGTTCCGATAAACCCAAACCAAACCCTTGCCATTCAGTCTATTTCAACGTGTAGCAACCCTATAGAACAGAGTACAACTACCCCACAGGGTTTCAAAAGTTGTAAATCTTAATGGAAGCAGACTGCCACATCTTTCTCCATAGATTGGCTGGTGGGTACCAACCACCCACTTTTGGTGAGCAGCTGAGCACTTTAACCTCAGTACTACCAGGACTCCTAGCTGCATGTTAAAGATACACATATGCATCTATAAACATATACTACACATATATGTTTATTGTTGTTGTTGGGTGCTGTCAAGTCAGCTCCAACTCATAGTTATCCTATGTATAACAGAACAAAACAGTTCCCAGTCCTGCACCATCTTCACAATTGTTGCTGTGGTTGTGTTAACCACTGTGTTAAGTCAACCCATCTCATTGAGGATCTTCCCCTTTTTTGCTGACCTTCTACTTTACTAAGCATAATATCCTTCTTCAGGGATTGCTCCCTTCTGACAACACGACCAAAGTATGAGAGATGGAGTCTGACCATTCTCACTTCTAAGGAACGTTCTGGCTGTACTTCCTCCAAGATAGATTTGTTCATTCTTCTAACGGTCCCTGGTCCATTCAATACTCTTTGTCAACACCACATCTCAAATGCATCAATTCATCTGTTGTCTTCTGTACTCATTGCCCAACTCTCACATGCATCTATTGAAAATACCATGGCTTGAGTCAGGTGCACCTTAGTCTTCAAAGTGACACCTTTGCTCTGTAACACTTCAAAGAGGTCTTTTGCAGCAGATTTGCCCAATACAATATGTCATTTAATTTCTTGACCTCTGCTTCCTTGGGGGTTGACTGTGGCTACAAGTAAAATGAAATCCATGATGTCAATCGTTTCTCCATTTATCATGATGTTGTTTATTGGTCCATTTGTGAGGACTTTTGTTTTCTTCATGTTGTGCAATCCATACTGAAGGCTGTAGTCTGATCTTCAGTAAGTGCTTCAAGTCTTCTTCACTTTCAGCAAACAAGGTCGAGTCATCTGTATGTCTCAGTTGTTAATAAGTCTTACTCCAGTCATGATGCCACACTCTTCTTCATATAGTTCAGCTTCTCAGATTATTTGCTCAGCATCCAGACTGAATAAGTGTGGTAGTTGTGTGTCAGCTTGCTGGGCCATTGTTTTGAGTGGCTGGGCAGCTGGATGTAATCACCTCCATGGTGAAATCTGCTGTGAGCAACTAAGGAGTTGCCTTTAGAGGGTTGTCTGCTTCTACTAGTATATAAGGAGAAGCTTTGAGGAAGGTCTCAACTTTTTGGCACGTTTGGGTCCTGCATTTGGCTGAGTCTTCATCCAGTGGCCTGCTGTGTTGGCTCCTGATTTTGAAATTATTCCTGGATTTGAATCAGTGGCCTGCTATGTGCCTCTTGATCTTGGAATTGTGCCATTCTACTTGCCAACTTGAAGTTTGTCAGCCTCAGCAGCCAGCAGCTTCATGAGTTACAAGAAGCTCTGGCTCCAGTGGGCCAGGAGCAAGAGGCAGAGCTGAAGCCCAAGGTCAAGGGACCTTCACCCAGGCCCTAGAGCTGGCACTTTAAATTTGGACTTCTAGCAGCCTCCTAAACTGTAAGAGAACAAATTCCTGTTTGTTAAAGCCATCCATTTGTGGTATTTCTGTCATAGCAGCACTAGAGAACCAAGACAAAAAATATGGTGAAAGGATACAACCCTGTCACACACTTTTCCTGATTTTAAAGTGTGCAGTGTCACCTTGTTCTGTTTGAACGACTACAGGTTCCTCACGAGCACAATTAAGTGTTCTAGAATTCCCATTCTTCACAATGTTATCCATGATTTATTTATTATGATCCACACAGTCAAATGCCTTTACATAGTCAAAAAACATCTTTCTGGTATTCTTTGCTTTCAGCCAAGATCCATCTGACATCAGCAATGTTATCCCTTATTCCATATCCTCTTCTGAATCCAGCTTGAATTTCTGGCAGTTCCCTGTCAATATACTATAGTAACCATTTTTGAAATACCTTCAGCAAAATCTTGCTTGCGAATGATATTAATGATATTGTTCAATAATTTCTACATTCTGTTGGATCACCTTTATTTGGAATGGGCACAAATATTGATCACTTCCAATAAGCTGGTCTTCCAAATTTCCTGGCATAAACGAGAGAGCAGCTTCAGCACTGCACCCATTTGTTGAAACATCTCTATGGGTATTCTGTCAATTCCTTCATTCACTGCAATCAAGTTGGATCTGACTCACAGCAATCCCTCCTTGGGTTTCCAAGGTGGTTTCTCTACAGAAGTAGATTGCCCAATCTTCCTTCCAAGGAGTGCCTGGCGGGTTTGAACCACCAGCCTTCTGGTTAGCAGTAAAATGCCTTAGGCACTATGCCACCAGAGCTCCTGTCAATTCCTAGAGCTTTGTTTTCTGCCAATTCCTTCAATGCAGCTTGAACTTTTTCCTTCAGTACCATTGGTTCTCTATCATAGTGCTACCTCCTGAAATGGCTGAATGTCAACCAATTTTTTTTTTGGTACAGTGAGTCTATATTCCTTCCATCTTCTTTTGATGCTTCCTGTATCATTCAATATTTTGCCCAGAGAATCCTTCAACACTGCAACTCAAGGCTTGAATTTTTTCTTCAGTTCTTTCAACTTGAGAAATGCTAAGCATGTTCTTCCCCTTTGATTTTCTAACTCCAGGTCTTTGCACATTTCATTATAACACTTTATTTTGTCTTCTCAATCTGTCTTTTGAAATCTTCTGTTCAGCTCTTTTACTTCATCATTTCTTCCATTTATTTTAGCTATTCTCCATTCAAGAGGAAATTTCAGTCTCTTCTGACATCCACTTTGGTCTTTTCTTCTTTTCCTATCTTTTTAATGATGTTTTGCTTTCTTCATGTATGATGATGTCCTTGATGCCATCCCACAACTTGTCAGGTCTTTGGTCATTGGCGTGCAGTGTATCAAATCTATTCTTCAGATGTCTCTAAATTAAGGTGGGATATAATCAAGGTCATATTTTGGCTCTTGGGTACTTGTTTTAATTTTCTTCAGCTTCAACTTGAACTTGCATAGGAGCATTTGACAGTCTGTTCCACTGTTGGCCCCTGGCCTTGTTCTAACTTACAATATTGAGTTTTTCCATCATCTCTTTTCAGATGTAGTTTATTATTAACGGATTTTTGCAGCAATTTCTTCTCATTTTGAGTCATGCCACATCAGCAAATGAAGGTCCCAAAAGCTTTCCTCCATCCATGTCATTATGGTTGACTCTACTTTGTGGAGAGAGCTCTTCCCCAGTTGTATTTTGAGGGCCTTCTCATCTGAGGGGCTCACCTTCCAGCACTATATCAGACAATGTTCCTCTGCTATTCATAAGATTTTTCCATTTTTTTCCAGAAGTGGACCTAGCCACATACTTCCTGTCTTAGTCTGGAAGCGCCATTGAAATCTGTGTCATGGGTGACCCAACTGAATTTGAACATATATATCTAGGTATGTATAAAATGTGGGGAAAGTCAGTACGTTTCCAACTGTTAACAATGTTTTATTAAAAAATAGCCAACAGGAGGAAGTTCCAGGGCCAGTCACAAAGCAATACCATTTATACAACTATCTCATTTTATCCTTGCAACAACTCTATGAGATAGGTTCTATGATTACCATTATTTTACAGGTGAGGAAAAAGAGTTTCAAAGAGGTAACTACTACTGCTAACAAAGCCCCTCTGCTCAGACAAGGGCTAAATCGCCCTACTACCCAATGCCACTCACCTGCCCACCAGAGAGCCCTGCTCACCGACAAGCCCCACCCCAGAAGGCTACCTCCTCCCCACTGGGCCGCGCCCCTCCAGGGCGCCTCTCTCCTCGCAGCCCTGCCCACATCCGAGCCACGCCCCCAGCAGCCTACTCTTTCCAACCACGCCCGCTTGTTGCAGCGTCTGCCCACCTGCACAAAGACGTAGAACACAGCCAGTGGCAAGATGACCACAGCAAAGAGTGGAGTGCTAGTCATGATGGCTACAAGGGTGGCGACTGAGTGGTAGAAGGCTTCGAATACCATTTGGATGGTGGGCGCCAGGACCTCATCGATGACATAGATGTCCTTGGAGAAACGGTTGAGGATGCGGCCTGAGGGTGTCGTGTCAAAAAAGGACTGTGGCGAGCGCAGGTTGTTGTGCAGCAGCGCCTGGTGCAGAGATCTAGCTGCCTGGATACCGCTCATCGCCATCAGGAAGCCCGACAGCATCACCAGGAACCCTGGGTGGGGGAGGCAGAGGGTGGGCTCTGCTCACCTGAGCTAGGGGGCAGCCATGGGGGGCAGGGAGGGGCAGGTTCTGAGGTAGGGGAAAGGCTAGGCTGAGCTAGGGAGGCAGTGGAGCAGGGCCATGGCTGTGATGGTGGAGGGAGGCTCAGAGGCAGAGATAGGATTCTAAGGACCCCACAGCCCAGAGGTGAGGTAGAGATTGGTGGAACCCCCACCCCAGGCTCACCTTTCAGCATTCCCAAGCCGGTATAGACACCCAGCCTCAGGGAGGTGTTGTTCTGGCGGCCATCTACCACAGCATCATTAGTCCAGGCACTGAGCCATATGTTGGCCCCAAGGGTGGTTGCACTTTGACCCATGTGCAGAAGACAGATGAACAGCACAGTACAGAGCCCCATGGCCTTGGTGTAATCCCAGAAAACATTCATCTTCACCTGTAGCCAGTGGGTGGGAATGGAGGCCTCCTATCAGCCCCAGGACTGCCGGGGGCCTGTGCACCCTCCCCAGCCCTTCTCAGCCATCCCACTCACAGTGCCCATCTCTTCCTTTTCCTCCTCGATCAGCACCCTGTTCACCTTTGCCTCTGTCACTTGCACCACCTTCTCAGCTTCACCCAGGCGTCTCCGGGACATAGACCACCCTGGGCCCTCCCCTTCTGAGGACATGGTGCTCAGCTGTCTGTGGAGGTAGCAGGTCAGGCTCGGAAGAAAAGCCTCCAACACAACCATAGCACTGAGTCCCAGAGGGAGGGTTCAGGCTGCCACCAGAGGCCCAGGGTGTGAGTGTCAGGGAGAACATTCACCTGCACCCCACCTGGCTGGGCCTGGGGAACCCTGATGCAACCTCCTGTGGAAGAGCAGGGAGAAGCTATCAGGAGCTCACCTTATAAACTGCTTCCGGACCTCATACACGACAGGTTCATTGTCCGTCAGGTCAGTGTGGTTGCTGAGTGTGTCTTCAGTCAGTAGCACCTTTTCATCCTTTCTGTCCTCCAAGGCTTCAGAAGGGTGGGAGGAAGGAGACAGAGGTTGACTTGCCTGCCCTGCAAGCCCTTGAAATCCCCAGCCCACTCCAGTGAAGGGGCCTGAATGGACAAGCTTGAGAGAAAGTGAGAGGACTGAAAGGACAGCAAGGAACAACAGGTTAGGCAACAAGAAAAACTTCCCATCAGGGACAGTGGAGAAAAAGACTCAAATATAAGGGTTAGGAGCTTGGGGTCTGGGTCACATTGACTAAGCTGAAATCCCACTTCATTGCTGCCTAACCTTAGGCAGGTTGCCTAACTTCTCGGCAGGAGTTTTTTTAAATGTAAGATGGGAATGATAATAGTAGAGGTCTCATTGTGTCACTGTGAGGATTAAACTAAGGAGCTTGTATCAAGTGCTCAGTCCCAGGTAGCTGTTGTGTCAGGTGCTGTCAAGTTGGTTGGACACATAATGACCTCATGTAAAACAGACCAAATGCTACTGGTCCTGCACCATCCTCACAGTCTTTGCTGTACTGCAGCCCATTGTTGCAGCCACTGCATCAATCCATCTCGTCTCCCTCTTTTGTGCTGACCCACTACCAAACATGATGTCTTTCTTCAACGATTAGTCCCTCCTGATGACATGTCCAAAGTAAGTGAGATGAAGTCTCACCATCCTCACTTCTAAGGAGCATCTGAATGTACTACATATTCCAAAAAAAAAAAAAAAAAAAAAACCCAAACCCATTGCCATTGAGTTGATTCCAACTCCTAGCAACCCTATAGGACAGACTGGAACTGCCCTATAGGGTTTCCAGGGTACAGAAACAGGCTGCCACATCTTTCTCCTGTGGAGTAGCTTCTAACTGACTTTTTGGTTAGAAGCCAAGTGCTTCACCACTGTGCCACCAGGGCTGTCTACTAACTATAGCACTTAGTAGTTGCTTTGTTCAGGAGCCCTGGTGGCTTAACGGTTAAGCACTCTGTTGCTAACTGAAAGGCTGGCAGTTCAAAACCACCCAGAGGTTCTGCAGGAGACAGACCTGTAGGGCAGTTCTACGCTAGCACATGGGGTTGCTGAGTCAAAAACTGACTCCACAGCACACAATAACAATAAATGCTTCACTAGTAAATAAGGCAATAGGCCAGAAGACATGGGGGAAGGTCTGTGAATCAACCCAGAGTTTGGGGTTGGGAAGCTTGGGGAGTCCTGTGAGCCCAGACACTTCAATATGCCCCATGAGGGTAGGGACTTTTTATGTTTACTGCTATGTCTCCATGCCTAGAACAGTGCCTGAAACACAGTAATTGCTCAAGAAACATTGGTTGACAAATAAATGACTTTACCAGGAACTTGCACATTTGCAGACAATTTATCTGTGAAACAATTGCGTCATATAAGTTGGGCCTGGACCCTTATACCATTTTGACATATGGGAAAACTGAGGCTCCGAGACCTGAGCTGTTGATCCAGATGCTCCAGTTAGAGAAGAGGAAGAGATGGGACATGACCTCTGGTGGTGTCTGTCACACAAGGATCCCAGAGCCTTCCTTGTATAACAGTGGGCCAGTCCAGAGACACTCAAGGCAGAGACCAAAGGCAGGGCAGACACTGGGAGGGCACAGGAATATGTGGGCCAGGGCTGCCAGATACCAGTCCAACTGTCCTCCACGTGCCACTTGTCCTCATCGGGTGCATAGTTGCGAATGAAGTCAGCAAAGGAGCCATTGCGTTGCAGCAAGTCTGGGTAGGAGCCAGCCTCAGACACCTGCCCCTCAGTTAGTACTATGATGAAGTCCATCTGGGGCAGGAAGCTGATTCTGTGTGTCACCAGCACCCGTGTCTGGGGAAAAGGCAACAGTCTTTCATCCCCTCTACCCTCAGCATACCCCCCGGCACAGGCACAGGGCTGTGGAGTGAGTGCAAGGTGGCTATGTGTCAAGGAGCAAGGACAGAGACACCAGGGCCCCACCCCATGCATGCTTCAGCCTATTCAGTGCCTCTGGGGCCGGCTCCCCTTTAAGGGTGTCCCCTGCCACCCACTCCTGTTTCTCAGGCTTCTCACACCTCCAGATATCCCCAACCCCTTAGGCTCCCATCAGTCCTCTCCTAGGCCCCTCAGTCTCAACTTAGCCCCCTTAGCCTCCTCAGGCCTCACCTTGTGGGCCAGCACACCCTCGGGTCCGATGACTTGGTCGAAGATATGCTTAGCTACATGGGAGTCCACAGCTGACAGGGGGTCATCCAGCAAAAAAATATCAGCATCACTGTAAACAGCTCGGGCCAGACTGACTCGCTGCCGCTGGCCCCCGGAGAGGTTAATGCCCTGGAGGGAGGAAGGGAGTGGGTATTGGGTGGGAGGGGATCCAGACAGGTACAGTGAAGGCAAGGGCCTGTCCACTGACATCAAGCAAGGCAGACCTCTGGATCACATTTCATACGCCTGATCCTGTCCCCTTGAAGTACCCTTGGAGGCAGCGGTAGTGCTGTCAGAATCCATCCCCCATGGGCAGGTGAGGACAGCCTCTCTGCTCTGTTCCCCAACACTGCCCAGCTGGTTTCCCTGCCTGCCACCTTCATACTCTGGGAGGCTGGGAAGCCCCAGTAGGCTCTGAATAGGCCTATTACTCTCCCATCACCCATACAGTTTGCAAACAGCTTTCATAACAATTATCCCATTTGGTGCTCACATCAGTCTTTCCAGTGAGGTATCATTAGCCCCACCTTCTAGATGAAGAAATTGTAGCCCAAGATGTAAATAGCTTTGTCCAAGGTGCTGGGTCATTAAAGGAAGAAGGGAGGGCAGGAACCCAGGTCTGATGGCTCCAGTATCAGCCCCAGAAATCATCAACCCTCAGATCATTCAGCTGCCAAAGGGAGATAAACTCTCACCTTGAACTCATGTGGGGAAACTGAGGCATGTAGGATCAGGGCTATGCCCAGAGGGCAGACTCCAGAGGTAAAGCTTACTCCCCTGCCAGCAGCTCCCACATTCCCTCTGAAACAGGGCACACCTCTCTGCAGGGTGACCTGAGAAACTGAGCCCTGGGGAAAGCAGTGGGAGGTAGGGACTCGAGTAACCGGGGAGAAGCTGGGGCCCCACCTGCAGCTGTAGCGGCTGAGGCAGGTGAGCATCTTTGCATTCATTCATTCAACCAACAGTCTTTCTGCAGTGCCTTCCATGTTGTTGCTGTTGTTGTGTGCCATAGAATCGATTCTGACTCAAAGCAACCCCATGTAACAAAGTAGAACTGCCCACCCCCCACCCACCAAGGTTTTCTTGGCTCTAATCTTCATGGAAACAAGTTGCCAAGCCTTAAGTTGCCAAGTCTTCTTCCCATGGAACCACTGTTGAGTTCGAACTGCCAACCTTTCAGTTAGCAGCTGAATGCTTAACCATTGTGCCACCAAAGTTCTTGCCTACTATGTGCTGGACACTAAATTAGGTGTGTTTGAGTTACGGGAGGACAGATTTTAGTCTGGTGTGTTCACTGCTATAGAATATTGCCTGACATGTTAAAAAAACAGTAACACTTGTTGCTGTTGGGTCGATACTGGCTCATGGTGAATCCGTGTGTTACAGAGTAGAACTGCTCTACAGGCTTTCCTTTTCTTGGCTGTAACCTTTACGGAAGCAGATCACCAGGCTTTTCTTCCGTGGAGCCGCTGGGTATGTTGAACCTAAATTAGTAGTTGAGGTTGAGTGCGAACCATTCATGCCACCCAGGACCGTATACCTGGCACATAGTAGGTGCTTAATAAACATCTGATGAATGAATGAATAGATGAATGAGAACTCCTCTTCCCCAGCTGGTAAGATTTAGCTAAAAAAAGTGATGCTTCCCCTGATGAAGACTCCCCCTTTGGTGCCGTCCCTGCACCCTATCCAGAGCAATCTATACCCCCTACTTATTCACAAGCCAGCTTCTCTAGTAATAGATCTATTTCCCCAATTCCAGGCAATGAGCTGGGCATGATGTTACATGAAGGCACACATGACTGGAATGGTTGGATGGATGAATAAATGCATACATAGATTGGGCTGGGTTGAGGAGGACAGCTGTATGCATGGTTCCCTGGGGATGGGAGAGGACCCTGTACCTTCTCTCCAATCTCTGTCTGGTCCCCTCCGGGTAGCACCTCCAGGTCGGCCAGAAGGGCACAGGCCTCCAGAGTCCGTTGGTAGTGCTTGGAGTCAAGAGTTCGACCAAACAGCACGTTTTCTTGAAGAGTGGCATTTTGGATCCATGCCTGCTGAGGCACGTAGGCCACGGAGCCCTGGATGTGGAAGAAGGTTACCTCGGGGTTCACCTAAGACCCAGCCAAGCCCCATGCTCTTCCCTGGAGCTCCTGCCCCTCTCACCTTCACATAAACCTTGCCTTCCAGCTTCTCCATCTCCCCCAGCAGGGCAGACACCAGGGAGGACTTCCCACAGCCCACAGGCCCCATCACAGCTACCAATGCCCCTTTTGGCACTTGGATGTCTAGGCTGGAGGCAAGGAGACCAAGAGCCATCAGAGGGAGGCAGGTATTTGGTCCCCTGCCCTCCACCTGGAGGCTCAAGCCTCCCCACCTCCAGTCAGCACCCTGGCAAGCTGAAGCTCTTCCTGCAACCAGGCCAAAGACTTGGTGTGGGTCCTTCTATTGATCTGGCCTTTGGCTCACTTTAGGTAGCTGAGAAGGGACTGGGAGAAGTTGATACCTGTGCAGGGCAGGGGGTAGGTCCTGGGCCCAGGTGAAGGTGCCATTGTCTATGGTGATGGCATAGCCTGGGAGGAGCAAGGTGTACAAGGTCAGGGAGCCTCAGGGATGGGGAAGCAGGGTAGGGAGGCATGGGGAAGGTGGGCATGCAGGAAGCCAGGAGCAAGAGGGAGGGGATCTCTGGAGGGAGAGGAGGAGGGAGAGGTGTGGGAAGCCATGGGGAAAAGGGCAAGGGGGAGAGGCTGGGGAAACTTAGGTACAGGGATGGAGGGCCAGAAAGCCCTGAGAGCAGGGGAAGGGAGCCCTAGGGTAGCAAGGAGGGTGACAGCAGCGCTGGGATACCAGGGGAGAGAAGAACAGAGAGTTGGGGAGAGGAGGAAACGGGGGCGTAGAGTTAAAGCAGAAATGAAAAGAGAAAGAAGAAAAGGAGTCCCAGGAATCAAATGAAGAAGCTTGGACCAGAGAATTTTTTGGAGCAAGGGAGCCCAGGCAGAGGTTCACTGGACCTGGGGAGATTGTCTTTCTTTCCACACAGTCAGGGTCAAGTTCATCTTGGCTCAAGAAATGCTGGATCCGTTTCAGAGACACGCTGGTCTGAAGGAGGGTGTGAGTCAGCCCTGGAGGGAACCAATTTCCTACCCTCTCCACCCCCTTACTCCTGCCCAGTCCCCAACTTCCTGAGTTAGGCAAAGGCCCCTGAGGGTCCTTGTGTGGATCCCTCCCACAATAGGATCTTCTGTGGTTCCCATTGCCCAAAGAGGAAAACAGAGTGGTAAGAACAGAGATTTCCAAAGACCTGACCTGACCTCTTCTGAGCCTAAATTACTCCTGTTCTTAATGACCTCATTTATCCTTGAACAACTCTCCATAATCCCAAATGGGCCTCCCCTGATTCCAGAAACTTTCCTTGATCCTTACCCTAAGTGACCCTACCCCTGACCCCAAAAACCTGCCTTAACTCCAGCCATTCTCCAACCCCCACCCAGTGTCACCTGGAGCATGTGGCCCATGATCGGGGGCAGCGTGACGAGGGGTATCTTCAACATATTGAACAGGGTCAAGGACACAAAGGCTTTTTCAGCATCTAGCACATTGCTCGGATCCACAGACACATACAGCCCAAGGGTGATCAGGGTTACCTGGGCACCAGTGGGGGATGGGGCATCAGGGCAGTGTCTCCTAGGCTCCAGCCATACCCAGGGATCCAGAGGTCTGGGCTGGCCAAGCGAGAGGCAGGAGCCCAGCCCTGGGGGAAGAGGCTCACCAGGAACGGGGTGCAGATCCAGATGAAGGTGCATATGGTACGCAGGAAGGTGGTCTTGCGCAGCAGCTGGAGCTCACTCTGCCGGATGCTCCCTACCTGCTTCAAGAAGCTGAGTTCCCAGGCGTACAGCTTCAGCACCTTGATGCCACCCAAGATCTCACTCATCAGCTTAAGGCGCGTGTCCTTGAACTTCACTTGCTCCATCTGCGTGATAGAAAGAATGGCGGTGGCATGCCCTGCTCCTCTCCCCAATCTCCTGCCCATGGGGATTCACACACTCTGACCATTTCAGATCGCTTGCCATCATTATATTCCATCCCATTCCTTCCTGCCTGTCTGCGCTTTGACCTCCACCTGCAATGCCCCCAACTTCTCCTCTGCCTGACAAAACCTAGCCTCAATGCCACCATCACTGACCCTCCCAGGCAGTGTCCATGGCCCCCTCCCTGGGTTTCTAGAACATGTTGTCCTTTCCTCTTGTTCTGATAATGATCACCATGCAGGCATGTTTCCTCCTCAGACTGTGAGCTCCTGAGGATATGGATCAGTTCTAATTTATCTTTGTTCCCCAGAACCTAACTCAGGGCCTGGTATCAACTGCTGCTGAGTCAACTCCAAATCCTGGTGACCCACGTATGTCAGGGTGCAACTGCACTAACACATTTACTGGCTGATTTTTCGGAAGTGGATCACCAAGACTTTCTTCTGAGGCACCCTGGGTGGACTTGAACCCCTAACCTTTCAGTTAGCCACTGAAGCTGAACCGCTAACCTTTCAGTTAGCCACCGAGCAAACCGCACCACCGTTTGCCATCTACCATTTGCACCACCCAGGGACTCCCAGGGCCTGGTGCACCAAGTTAATTTATTCATTCAGCCCCTGTTATTGCTTATTGAGTGCCAATTGTGTGCCAGGTCCAGTGCTAAATGTGAGGAATATGATCATGACCAATTTAGACAAGGTTATGCAGCTGGCAATCTGATGGGCATGGCAAATATTGGGCAAATATTTACTCAAATACATGCTTAATTATAAATGATTACATATGCTCTGAAGAGAAATAATAGGGCATTATGAGAGAATAGTGGAGTAGGAGCTGGGAAATGAACTTAGACTTGGTCGTCAAGATGTGTCTCTCTCTTTTTTTTTTTAATTGTGATTTGGGTGAAGATTTACAAAGCAAATTCACTTTCCATACAGCAGTTCACATATACTTTGTCTCATGTCATTGACCACAGTTTACCACAATGCAACAGCTCCCCTCCCACTTCCTCCCCATAGTTACCTCTTCCCAGTGGCCATCCCTCCATACACTCCTGCCCTCTGAGCTGTCTCTCTGTGCATAAGCAGCCCTTCTTTCTCCCATGATTGTTCTCTCCAAGGAGTGTATCTACTTGAGGTAAATGTTCAACTCATATGCCTGTATTTTGTTTGGCTGGAAACCACAGGTGTGGGTTCAATTCCAGACCTGAGGGGCAACTAGGGGCCATAGTCTCAGTGGTTCCACCAGGCTCTATTGGACCAGCAAACCTGGTCCCCACCTTTTTTTTTTTTTTTCTCCAAATGATTTTGAGTTTTGTCCACATTGTTCTCCCTCTCTATCAAGGATCTCCTACATAGATCCCCTTCCAAGTGGATGACAGTGGTAGCCGGGCACCATCTAGTTTTTCTGGTCTCATAGTTGTATGGGCTGCAGATTGGATGGTGTAACAGTCTCTAGGACTAATTGTTTCCATGAATTTTGGTTTTCTTCATTCTTCTTTGCTCTGGATGAGGAGAGACCCATCGTTGCATCTAGACGGCAGCTTGCTAGCTTTTAAGATCCAAGATGTGTTTCTTGAGGAAGTGACATTCATGCTGAGAGGTGAGGGAAGGGAAGGAGTAAAGCAGGCAAGGGGGTCAGGTAAAGACCATTTTGGGTGGGGGTGGCCTAGAGGCATGAAGAGCTTGGGCTTTGGAGAAAAGAACAGCCGGACTGGCTGAAAACTTGGTGATACCCCATGGGGTGAGGGCTTCCAAAGCAAGTAGGGGCCTGGTTAGTGGTCTTAGAGAACTTGTCATTTATTCCACATGCAGTGGGGAACTACTAAAGACTTCAATAAATGTTTGCAAATAAAAGATCGAATGACTGGCTATTTACACTCAGCATAGTGTGGTGGGAAAAGCTCTCATTAGACCACAAGACCTGAAGTTTCGAGTCCCAGCTCTGCCTGGTTCTGGACTGCCATACTCTCTCTGGGCCTTGGTTCCTCAGCTGCAAAGGGAAATGTTCCCATGACTCTCTCAGGGTTTTTGCAAGGGTAGAGTGAGCTAAGGTTGTGGATGTAGCTAATATCTGTGATAGCCATCCATACTCAGTAAGCAAGGTAAGTGACAGGACCCTAGGTAAGTGAATGACCTCCCCCAGGCACCTGGCCAGCTGCACCCCTGATGGCGCCCACCTGGAAGGTCCGTATCTTCACGCCCACAGCTCCACTGAATGTAATCAGCAAGACCATCAGAGCAACTCCACCCAGGACGGAAGGACCTAGGTTCTGCAGAGGCACAGATTGATAGATAAGACAGACAGACAACCAAAGTCAGTAAACAGAACCTACCAGACAGATAGGCCTGTTGACTTGAAATGCAGGGAGCAAAAGACAGCAGTCAGACAAACAGAGAAAAGTAGACATGGAAAGAAAGCTAGCATGACTGTAACATTTGCAGAAGCAGCCAGTTCATCAGATAATGACAACAGACAGGCAACAGATAAGGACACACAAGCAGAAAGATGTCCAGACACACAGGAAGGCAAATACAGACAGACAGACAATGACAGCCAAAATCACACTCACTCTGCCTCAAAGTCCCTCTCTCCTTCCTTGAGCTCTGAGGGAATGATGCACAGACTGGAAAGACTCTGTTGCAGACACTAGTGTCCTTGTAGTCCTGTTTCCCCCTCCCCCAATGCTAGGGAAGCTCTTGTGTCCATTATACAGTCCTTTGCTGACCCCTCTCTGATACTTGTACTTTCTGCAGCAAGAAGAGGGCAGAGGTCAGAGTTCAAGAGTCACCTGCCAGAGGAAATAGACTGCCAGCATGATCTGCAGGGGTGCTGACCACAACAGGTTGAGGAAAGGGACAGCATCCATGAAGTGCTGGGCGTCCACTGACAAGAGGTTGACAATTTCTCCAACAGTGGACTCACGCTTGACTGAATTGGTAATGACCAGAGCCTGCAGGGGAACATCAGGGTAAGGGATGAGATAAGAGAAGATAAAGGCCCATGAGCCTTTCCAGACTTCACTGGGCCCCGTCCCCTGCTCCAGCTGACCTTCCTGTAGATGACACCTATGATTGCTGTACGTAGCCTCAACGCACCCACAAAGATGTGGTACTCATTCTGGTTCATTATCACAGTGTGCACTACGGAGCACACAAACATCAGCCCTGCCACCAGGAAGCCCCACCAGGTGGGGGCTGAGGGGTTCGAAATAAACTTGATCAGGATGCTGCAAGGGAGGAGAGAGAAATGAGAATGGTGAGTGCTCCCCCAGATGCTCCCTCCACATCCGCCCTCCGCTTTGACTCTCAGCCTCCACTCTGCTCTCTGCTTCCACAACCTCTCAGGTAGGACTCTACCCCTCCCCCCCAAGTCTGGGGAGCTGCCCGATGCTGCCTCACTCTCTTCAGCCTTGACCTCTTTCCCTAACCTTATGGACTCCACCACCTACTGCTCTCATTACTCTCTCACCACCAGCTTCACCTGCCTGCCTTTCTCACCTCCTTGAACTACATGCAAGAAGAAATGCCATGTGTCCATTTATTTGACTTTTCTGTACCTTTTCCCAAGCTGCCAAGGGCCGTAGAAGCTGTTGTATGACCATGTAGACTCTTGTCCCTCAGTCCATCCTCTCCAACATCAGTGTCCCCTCAATGCTGTCTGCTGACCTTCTCCAGGGTCCTGATCCACCTCCTCTCCCATGGAGGCCAGTCCCCACTCCCTCTCTCAGCAGCTGATCTGTCTTCTCACATGTCCACCCATTGAGAGCGTGTGGTAGTTAAGTTTATGTGTCAACTTGTCTGGGCCTGGTTGAGCGGCTGGGCAGCTGGATGTAGTATTTCCCATGATGAGACTGGTAATCAACTCCATGGTGGAATCTACTGTGAGCAGCTGAGTAGCTGCCTTAGGGATGTGGTCTTCTTCCGGTACACAGAGAGAAGCCTGGGGAATGGTCTATAGCTTAGGCATGCTTGAGCCCTGCATGTAGCCGTGTCATTATTTAGCAGCCGGCCATGCTCTGCCTATCTTGGGACTTTCAATGGGCTTGAATTAATGGCCTGCCATGTGGTTTGGTAATATCGGGACTGTGCCTTATTACTTGTCAACCTTGGGCTTGTCAGCCTCAGCAGCCAGCAGCTGAGTGAAGAAAAGCCTCCAGCTTTAGTGGGCTGGGAGCAAGAGGCAGAGCTGAAGCCCAAAGTTGAGGGGCTTTCACCCAGCCCCTAGAGCCTGGCACTTTGAACTTGGACTTAAAGCCTCCAAATTGAAAGAATAAACTGCTGTTTGTTAAGGCCATCCCATTTGTGGTATATTCCTGTCAGAGCAGCAATAGGTAACCAAAACAGAGAGCCTTCAAGCCATAAACTTCTCTCCAAACTCACTCTTCTTTCCTCCCACTCAGAATAGGAGGTGTTCCTCTATCTTTCCCAGCCTAATCCTACCCCTGAGCCTGGATCCCATCCTCAGGAGCATGTTCCCTCATTGCCCCTCTTTCTCTTGATCTTCAGTATCCTCATTCCCATTGGCCACTCTATGGCATGACCCATTGACATGACCAACTCTCTACCAGGTTGGCATAAATCTCCCCTCAACTCCTTGGATCTTTCTAACCATAGTTGTAGCCAGTCTGTCCCTTCTGTTGTGGGTTGAACTGTGTCCGCCAAAAAGGTATGTTCAACTCCTAACCCTTGGTACTGTAAGGTTTCAGCGAAGAGGGTCACGGTCGCAGCGGAAAGGAAGAGAGGATTCAAAAGCAAAAGTTAGGAAAGTTTTATTGTGTGCTCCCGGGTGAGGTTTATGGGTCCCCGAGAGGGACCCAGGCGAGGTTCACGGGTCCCTGAGAGGGGCCCGAGAAGTCGCGCCCCCAGGTGAAAGAAAAGGGTTTTAATAGTGTTACTTTTCCTGTTCCTCAGCGGACTGGATTGAGAGCAGGGTATGTGTTACAGGAACCAATAAGGTTAAAGCACCCTATTAGCATGGGGGCAGGAAGTAGAGCTGAAGCACTTCATTAACATAGTGGGCAGGAAATGGTTGGGGGCCTTCATGAGTAAGAGTCAGGTGCTGGGGTCTTTTCTAAGTAAGGGTTATGTGCTGGGGTTTGGTATGGGCTCTGGTCAAGCACTTCCTTGCTTGACCAGTTCTTATAATTCCCTCTGGCTTAATCATTCACCTGCCTGGTCTGCCCTGCTCCCAACTATCAGGTACCTATGTGACCTTATTTGGAAAAGACTTTGCAAATGTAATCAAGTTAAGATCAGGTCATACTGGATTAGGGTGAGCCGATCCTATTATGACTGGTATCCTTGTAAGAGAAAGGAGGGGGAGATTTATACACAGAGATACAGACACACACAGACACAGAGGAGAATGCCACATGAAGATGGTGGCAGAGATCGGAGTAATGAATCCACAAACCAAGGAACATCAAGGATTGACAGCAACGACTAGAAGGTAGGAAAGAAGCATGGAACAATTCTCCCTCAGAGGCCCCAGAGGGAACCAACGCTGTAGACACCTTGATTTTGGACTTCTGACCTCCAGAATTGTGAGAAAATAAGTCTTTGTTTTAAGCCTTCCGGTTTGTGTTAATTTGCTGCAGTTGCCCTAGGAAAAGATACATCTGCCTTTCCAGCAAGTTTCTAGACAGCCATGAGCCCTGTCTCCCTCCACTGCAGACCTCTGCTCTTATACTATATGACTCTCTGAAGAGGCCCCTGCTCTTGACAAGCCACTAACAAACTCTGGGGGCCCTATTTGACTGACCCTTTGTCAATGGTGGCCACACCTCCCCCTGGGAAGCCTTCTCTGCCCCTGGTCCATGCCACAACACTCTCCCTGACATTCTTCCAGGAACCAGGCCCCCAGCTGACCCCTCACCTGTCAGAATCCCCTAAGGTTCTGTCTGGGGCTCTCTGCCATAGCACATACTCACTGGGAGAACTTAGCCACAGACTGGGACCCTGGCTTCCACTTTGAGGGCTCTGAAAATGCTATCTCCAGTTCTCTAGAAATCTCCCCTTTGATGGCCCAGACCACCTCTGGTTCAACATGGCCAACACCGAGCTCATCACCTCTCTCCCAACAAGCCTCCTTGAGCCTTCCCTCTCCCTGGCACACACTCATCTCCCGAATAGCTTCTGGATCCTAACTTCATTCCTGGCCTGGCTCTCACCTGACCTGGATGGCTTACTTCTACCTGGCCTTCCTGCCCTGTATACCCCACCCCTCACCCACTGCTGACTGGGAGACCCTTCTGAAATGAAAACCAGACATGCTCTCCTTCTTTCATTTCCTGTATCTGCCCCTTTCTCTGGGCATCCTTTCCTCCAACATTCAGAAATATCTGAGTCATGCTGTTTCAGTCTTTGTGACTTAGCAGTTTCTCCTCCTTCTTTATCTAGTTAAGGCCCACTTGTCCTTTCTAACCCAGTAACCTTCTTAGCTGGAAAATATACTCTGCCCCTACCCAGGCTGGCTCCTTGCCCCTCCTGGGGTTTTCCAGGCCCCTGAGTACAACTATGCCCACACTCTAATTGCTTTACACCTCAGTTTCTTCCACAAGATTTTCAGCCCATGTCTTATTTATATCTGTATCCCCAGTGTCTAGCACTTGCTAACTTCAATAAATGTTTGTTGAATGAATACATGCATGAATGAATGAGTGGAGGGGCAAGAGGTTGGGCCTCTGTTGCTAGGTAGCTCTCCTTGCCATCCCCTCATCTGAGAGCTCCTTCTAGTCCAAGCCACTCATATGACAGATGACAGAGCTTGACGGTGGTAGGGAGAGCGCTGTTACTGGGGTTCAGAGCCTGGACTCAGTCCCATCTCCATTTTTTCCAGCTACATGCCTTTGCTCAGGCAAGTTGTTTCACCTCTCTGAGTTTCCGCTTCCTCTTTTGTAACATGGGAATAGGAACACCTCTCTGGAGAATTGTTGGAAGATCAGGGAGCGAATGCTTACTGACATGCCTATCATGGTGTCTGACACATAGTATGCATCCAGTAAACTGAAGTTCAGAGTGAATGGGGAAACTGAGGCACATAGCGGTGACGTGACTCGCCGAAGATCATACAGCAAGTGAGAATTGCCTCTTTGGTTCCTGGGCTGGGACTCTTTGCCCTGTCTGTTGTTCCTTGTTCCTCCCTCTGGGCTCAGCCCTCATGCTCAGCCAGCCAGTCCCCTGCCCAGGGTGTGGCCACAGCAGGCAGAATGGGCAGACCTGAGCAGCTGTGGGTTGATGAAGGAGAGCAGGTTCTGGATTAGCTGGAAGCAGGAGCTGATGAGATGGCTGGGGCCAAAGGCGATCACCAGGGCCTTCAGGAGAGAGGGTTCCCGGGGCCCAGTCTTGCCCCGCAGCAGCACCTCATCCTCTCCAGAAGCTTTCTTCCCGAATGCTTCCACAGCCTTGTGTCTGCTCCAAGGAGGAAGAAGCAGTGGGTAGGAACATGTACACGGCCACCACGAACCCAAGGGCAGGGTTGGGTTGTCCCGGAGGTGGGGAGGGGGACTGCTCTCTTGACTCTCAGAACTGGGAGGGGACATGCATGACCTTCCAGCTGACAATTCCCAGATGACTCTGTCCTCAGGTGTCAGAGGGCATATATGAAAGGGTGCCCAACTCCTATCCAAGGACTACAAAATATAGCAATTCCCAGTCTCTGGCCCTCTCCCTAAGGAACCCTCATGGAGCAGTGGTTAAAGTGCTTGGCTGCTAATTGGAAGGCTGGTGGTTCAAACCCACCAGCTGCTCTGTGGGAGAAAGATGTGACAGTCTGCTTCTGTAAAAAACTACAGCTTTGGAAATCCTACAGGGCAATTCTACTCTGTCCCATAGAGCAACAGCAGCCAATTTTGGTTGGTCTTCTTCTGCCTCCCCAGGGCTGGCTTCAGGGAGGACGAGGAGGAAGAAAAGGAGCTATAAGAAAGCATGGCCAATGGCTCAGTCACTGGGAAGCTGAGCAAAGAGAGGCCAGGGATGGCATGGAAGGACAGAGGGGATGCAACAGGCAGACTGGAGGCAGGTATGTCCTCCCAGAAGCACCATGCCACAGAAGCCCAGGTACTGCTAACCACACCCAAGTCCCTGGCTCCTCCAATAGCCAACTATTCAGGGCTCTGGGCTGAACAAGCATTGAACTCCTAGGCTCCAGGTTGTAGGTGGGAGGGAAGGGGGCTCAGTCCTAGGATAAGTGGGCAGGGAAGGAGAACTCTTGGCTGGGGAACTGCCAGAAATACATTTCTGGGTCATTGGCCAGAAGCTGCCAGAAGGGAGGCCCCTCAGCCAGAGGGTTATTCTATACAGCCCTTTCTCCAGACAAGAGGAGACAGAACTATGAGGAGGGGCTGTGTCAATCCTTTTCCTCTGACCCCTTCTCCCTCCTTAGGGAAGTCCCTGGAGTCCACCCTGGGAATTGGGCCAGGTAGTGTAGTGGTAAGAGAATGACCTCTGAGGTCAGGCAGCTGGGTGCCACCTACCTCTGCCACCACCAACGAAGGGACTTTGAGTATGTCATTAAACCTCTGTGCCTCAGCGTTCCTGTCTGTACCATGGAGATAACTGAACCTACACTGCAGGGCTGCCAAAAGATTAAAAGAGTTCATCTACATGCTTAGGGACATACCTAGGATGGAATAAGTGTTCTGAAAGTGTCAGCTCATCTCCTCTCCTTGGGAGAGCTAGGGAGAATTGGCTCCACCCAGGCCCAAGTTTCCCACCTAATGGTCCCGATGTTGTTGTGTACTGTTGAGTCAATTCCTACTCATAGCAACCCTACAGGACAGAGTAGAACTGCCCCAGAGGGTTTCTTAGGTTGTAATCTTTATGGGAAAAGATCATCAGGTCTTTTCTTCTGTGGAATGCTATGGGTTTGAACCACTGACTTTTCCATTAGCAGCCAGACACTTAAGCATTGCACCACCAGGGCTCCTCAATGGTCTTGAGCCTGCCCAGAAATCACCTGTGGCTGCTCTTCTTCCCACCCTAGCCACGTGATCATCCCAGGTCTACCAGCCTCCATTTCCCGATCGGCTGGGAGCCCTGGTCTGTCAAGGAGCTGGGGTGGAGGGGGAGTGCTAACATGGGGAGGTACTCACCGTGCCACCTGCTTTTGCTCCTTCTTCCATGCCTCCAGCAGCCGCTGCACCACCATCTGGGAGCGGTCCTCCTCATTCAGGGACCAGAGGTCCCTGTCCTCCAGGGGGCGCCGGTAGCCAAGGATGATCATCCTGGGCAGGCAAAGTGGGGGCAGGCAGCAGCCCCACAGGGGGTCACAGTTTAGCTGCTGGGATCTGGGGACCAGTGTCCAAACCCCTAAATAGCCAAAGAAGCATGGCTCTAGTAGATATCTGGAAAAGAGGGTCCCCCTAGGGTGCTGTGACCAGGGTGGGTGTCTCCTTGTTTTCCACAGTGAATAGGCTGTAGGCCATTCACTGCCCCCTTCCTGAAGCTTCCTGCCTCTGGCCCCTTCTCCTCGCAGTGCCCCAGCTCCCTAGGCCCTGTGATTGAATCCCTGCTGCCCGGGCCCTGGGTGGAGGCCGAGGCTGGTGGATCCAGCCTGAGCCCAGGTGCTCCCTCAGTGCAGTGCAGTTAATGAGCTGTCATCCAGGTCACAGACACAATTCTCCCACTCGAGCCACTCTGAGGAGCATCTGAAGAGATGACAAGCTGCAAGCTTTCCTGAGACTATAGAGCAGGGGACTAATGCCATCTCCTTCCAGCCCCCAAGCCTATCCCCCATAGCCTGCCAGATGCAAGACCGGCCTGCAGCCTGGGATCAGAGCTGGGTCCGGCCTCTGCATCCAGCCCCCAGGCCCAACAGACTCATTTCCCCACTTTCACCTGCCCCGTGTTCATGGGGATGGGAATCTGGGGAGGACCACTCAGGCCCAACTCATCAGGCCCCCAAGCTGCTGAACTTCTGCCTGATTGCCTTCCTCCTTCTTCCCCTCCCTCTGGACCAGGCTGGAGGAAAAGCCAACTCACTTTGTGGACCACCAGAAAGTCAGGCGGGAGAGGAAACCGGCGCTGGCCTCTGGGCTGGGGTTCTAGAAGGCAAGAGAGCAGAACGTGGGGAGGGCCCACCATCCTCTTAAGAAAGAGGGTGGCCTCTCATTCCTTCCTGCTCCCAGCTCCAGTTCACAGACTTGGGGGTGGCATCTCACCTGGGTACCCCTCTTGGAAGGACTAGGAAAGGATGGGAATTGCTGCTAAGGGCTGAGCTGAGGAGTAAGCTTTGGAACCAGACGAAGATCACTTAGACATAATACCCACTATCACTCCAGCCTCCACGGCAAACTCACAGGGTCATCGTTCTTTGGAGAGAAAAGTGGTGGCTTCTCTCTGAAGCAGGACAGGATGAGAGCCAAGAGTACCAAGGCAAAGTAGATGTAGAAGGTGGTAAAGCGGAACGGGTCCAAGATCCTGCCCTGGAAGGAAGGATGGAGATGGGCAGCAGAGGCCTCAGGGAACCCAGGCCTGGCAGGCCTGGCAGGACAACAGTATCCTGGGGTAGAGACAGCACTTGGGGGGCCTGAGTCACCCACCCAGAGAATTCTGAGATAGGGAGGAGACATGATGGGGGCTGCTGCTCAGTGAGGACTTGACCTGTGCCAGGCACTGTGCCAAGCACTTTATGAACATTATCTTGTCAGATCCTGACTACAACCTGTAAGGTAAGTACTTGTTTTCCTTTTTTCCATTTTAACCATGTTTAAGTGTACATTTCAGTGACATTGATAGCATTCACCCTGTTGTGCAAAAATCACCAAAGTGATACTCATTTTGTAATTAAGCTAACAGAGGCTCAAAAAGATCAAGCATCTTGCCCAAGGCCACTGGGGAAGTAAGTGGTTGTGCACAGCCTGTACTCTTGGCTGTTATACTTGACTGTCTCCTCCTGAGATGGAGAAATGGGGAGGCACTGGATTGACCCCCAGTGTTCCATACCTTCCCATCACCACCACCAGGGGGTCGTCCTGTCTGGTAAAGATCAAGAGAAAGGCCAAGAGTGAGGGAAAGTAGGAAGAAAGGGGGAGAACAAGGTAATGGGACTTCTGGATAAGCCAGACTATTCATAGATATCTGCATATACTCATTCATTACACAGACATTGAATGACACCCATGTCAGACACAGCACTTGGTGGTGGTGACTATAGAGCCACTCCTGCACTCCCACATGCCCAACAATGGCAGAGACTGCCCCATTCCCTGTGTTATACCAGTCCTGCCCTCCCCTCCCCATCCCAGCCAATTTCCCTGCAGAGATGTGACAAGTGAGAATAACACCATGAAAAAGTCTGAAGAGCAGAGGAGGTCCTGGGAGCCCAGGAGGGCAGAAGAGAGGAGCCTGGGGCCCAGCAGTGGCCTCGAGTGCCAACGTCATCCCCTCATACAGGGCAGGGCTGCCTTCACCCTGACCTCTTACCTCTGCCATTGCTGAAAGGATCTTGGAGCGGAAGGGGATGATGGCACAGAGCACACACAGGAACCAGAAGATGATGAGGACCCCCGAGGACTGCACCCCCCGCAGCCGCTCATACTGGATCAGTAGGGTGGCCAGCAGCTGTGCAAGTGGGCAGGGGAGGCCCGGCCAGAGCACACACCTCTGGATCTGCCTCCATTTCTCCTCACCCACATGGCCCACTCTTTCTGGGGTCACCCTCTTCCCTTCCCCACTCCAAAGATGTCTAGCCCTTCTCCTCAGAGTCCATGGTCCCCCCATCACAATCCCACATCCCAACTGGAGACCCTCCCCCACCCAGCTTCCCAGGACCCACACTGACCATGGTGACCCCCACTACCAAGGGGGTGACAAAGAAGATGGGGGCAGGGGCCCAGCCGTGGACCAGGCCATGGAAGGAGTAGAAGAGGTCAGCCCAGGAGATACACCATAGCAGGACGCCCAGGGCCTGTGGGCAGGGCACACGTTGGAGCCCCCTCCCCAGAGGCAGGAACAGTCCCAACTAGGAAAGGACCTTGGCTCCTGAATCTGCCACAAGGCACTGGACCAACATGGGCCTGGCTGTTTGGACTGGTAGAGGTGAGGCCAGGAGCTTTGAGGGGTGGGGAGAGCCTTGGTGGAGACCTTGCTTAAACTTCCCCAAGCAGGGACTTTTCCAGTTGGCTGCACATGAGCTGGTAGGCCACCCTAGCCCAGAGCTGCAGGACAATGAGGCTGAGAAGCCTGGGAATCCAGTCTGGCTGATGAGAGTAGCAGGTGACGGAGTCATCAAAAAGAGAATCCCCAAACCCCAGCCCCACCCTCAGGAAAGCCCTGAGTCCCTTACCGTCTTGAACCTGGAGAGGTGGGAGAGGGTGATGTAGTTGCGATGGTGGTACCGCAGGTAGAGCAGGTAGCAGGGAAGGGCAGCCCAAAGGTAGATGCAGGGAGTCCAGGCCAGCAGAGAGTTCTGAAAGCAGGGCGTGAGGTCGGGGTTGTCTGTGTGCAAGGACAGGTTGGAGTCCTGGGAAAAAGAGAACATTGCAGGGCTGAGATAGCCTCCTGGAGGATGGGCTCTCCCATGAGGGAGATGGCTGGGCCAGAGAGAGGTTTCATCCACCGTGGGGTTGGGGAGGACGGTCGAGGACAAGAGAGCACTAGTGTGCAAGTGAGCAGGTGCTGTGCTGAGTGTGAGCTCTCCCATGAGGCCATGAGTTCCAGCAGGCGCCTCTTTTCCCTCTCTTCTCTCTCTCCCATTGAGGTATAATGTAACCATTTAAAATATACAATTTGATGAGTTTTGACAGTTTTATACACCCAGGAACCAACTCAATAGCACCTAACAACAACATACACCCAGACACCACTTCAACAACAAAGATACAGAACATTACTGTCACTCCAGAAGTTCCCTGGTGAACTACTGCAGACCGGCCTGCCCTCCACCCTGGACCCAGGCAACCACTGATCTGCTCTCTGTCAGGCTAGATTCCCACCCTCTTTTTCAAAAAATTAACTTTGTAATGCTGTCAAAATAATATATACAAATGGTTTAAGAGGTCACTTTCTCTTTTAGCCTCTTCTAGGTAAGATATCAGGAGCTCTGGTGGTGTAGTGCCCAAGGCATTGGACTGCTAACCAGAAGGCTGGTGGTTCAAACCCACCAGCCACTCCTTGGAAGGAGTGGGCCACTCCTTGGGCAATCTACTTCCATAGAGATACTGCCTCAGAAACCCAAGGAGGGGTCACTATGAGTCGATATCAACTCAACAGCAGTGCCTTTGGTTTTTTCGGTTTTAGGTAAGACACTGGGAGCTTCCCTGAGACACTGGATAGCTGTGAGATCAAAGGAACAAGGGATGTGGGAGGTCTTTGTAAATTACAAAGCCTAGAGTGACCAACTATCCAGGTTTCCATGAGACTATTCTGGTTTAGTTTCACAGCCTGGGCAACCACTTGGTCACTGGCAAACAGGGACATGTGGCCACTCTACTCTACCAGCAGCTCGAGTCTTTGACTATAACCAGTTTCTGCCAAGTCAACTCTTAACTCACAGCAACCCCATTTGTTTCAGGGTAGAACTGTGCCCCACAGGGATTTCATGGCTGAGTTTTCAAAAGTAGATTGTTAGGCCTTCCTTCCAAGGCACTCCTAGATGGACTTGAAGGTCCAACCTTATGGTTAGCAGCCAAGTGAGTCAATTACTTGCACCACACAAGGATAACAGGACCTAAACCTTTTTGGGAAAGAGGTGGAGATATATTCATTAATAACCACATATTTCATTGAAATTGTTTTCTCCAAGGTCACCAATGACCTAATCTCTCTTTTTTTTTCCTTCTTACAGAGCTGAAGCCCAAGGTTGAGGGGCTTTCACCCATTCCCTAGAGCTTGGCACTTTGAACTCAGACTTAAAGCCTCCAAACTGTAAGAGAATAAACTCCTATTTGTTCAAACATCCCATTTGTGGTTATTCTTGTCAGAGCAGCACTAGGTAACCAGAACAGTGGTCGGCTGCTAAGAAAGATCAGTGGTTTTAACCCACCAGCTGCACCGCAGGAGAGATGAGGCAATCTGCTTCTGCAAAGATTAACCTCCCCCAAAACACCTCATTGCCATTGAGTTGATGCTGACTCATAGTGACCATTCAGGACAGAGCAGAACTGCCCCATAGAGTTTTCAAGGCTGTAAATCTTTATGGAAGCAAACTGCCACATCTTTCTCTTGTGGAGCTGCTGTTTCTCCTCTCCTCTTTGTCTTTTTATTCCTTTCTGTCATTTTAGTGGAATTTCAGGAAGGAACAGGGATAAAGCTATGTATTTAATCTACACTACAAAACCAAAAGTCCTTCTGACTGTCAAATTAAACGCTCCTCTTTCAGCATTCATTCAGGACCTTCTTGTAACAGGGTGGGTTTTTTCTCTTCCTCTCAGAACCTACTCTTTCCTGGACCTCCTTGGCCCTCAACAACCATTCCTTTCTGTCTCCTTTTCTTCTTCCTCCTAGTGCCAGCCTGTAGACACAGACATAGATATAGACCCTGGCCCTTCTCTCTCTCTCTCTCTCATCTCCCATCACTGCTCATAGTTTGTACTGAGGACCCAAAATCCACATCTGTAGCTGTAATCCTGTCCTGAGCCTCAGCTCCCACTTCCTGCTACCTCTCAGATAGCTTTCCCATCTGTCCTTGGACACGTCACATCGAACACCCTGAAACTCAGCTCATCCACTTACTGCCAGGACTAGACTTTTTGGCTCTGCCTCCTCTGCCAAGGGCACCACCAATCTCCCAGTCACCCAGAGTCCCATGGGGGCATCAGGTCCTATTGATTCCCGGGGGAGTCAAGACTGCAACCAGACTTGTTTTTGAGTCCTGGTTCCACTGCTTCCAAAGTCTGTGACCTTGGACAAGATACTTAGCCTCTCAAACTGGACCTTGGTTTCGTCATATGGGTAACATTGGGATGATAATGCGTCCTACCTGGTCCCTCAAACCCAGTCCCTCAGCCATCATATTAACCCAGGCCCTCATCTTTGCATGGGCAGTTTCAATGGGGTTGTGGTCCCTTCTCTTACAATGCCCTGGGAACCCATATCCCTGACCTACTCTCTTGATCTTCCCCTTGCTCTTGGTCATGTCTTCTTGGCCACCTTCCCTGTTCCTCCCCTGGTGGCAAAGGGCACCAGGGCTGGGTCCTTTCTTTTCTTCATCTCCTTCTCTATCTGCAATCTTAGTGATCTCACCAGTCTCATAAGAGTACGCTATCCACATGTCAATGACTTTCAACTTCATCTCTCTAGCCTACCACTCTCCAAATCCTTGACTCTATGTCCAACTGCCAACTGGATATCTCCACTCAACACTACAATGGCTACAAGGACCTGTACAATGTCCTCCTCTGTCAGGAAGCCACTCTGGGCACCCCAGACTTTCCTTTCCCTTATCCTTTAAGACCATGGCAGGGCAGTTAAGTGACTATCACCTGAGGATGATAAAGGCCCCCTGCATTTTATTACATTTTATAACAGCACTTATATGATCATTACCTGGTTGTTGTCTCAGAACAACTTCCGGAGGTAGGTGGGAGGGGATTGTTAAGCCCAATTTACAAAGAGAAAGCAGAGTTCACCTACAGGTCCAAGGACTCTTGGCAGGATGGAGATGGGACTGGCACTCAGGCCTGTGATGCCAAGCTGGGGTTTTTCCCCACCCCATGCTACTTGGACCTACACCTGTGAACACATCCTCTCTCCAATAGCAACATGAGGCCCTGGGACAGACACAGTACCCTATAGCTCTTTGCATCCTGTCCCACACTTTCCAACTCCCAACACAGTACCAGGTGCACAGAAGTGATCCAAAATCATTGACTGGCAAGAGAGTGAGGGGGGAGGTTAGGAGCCTGGGTTCAAGGCAGGGAATCACCACATGGATGTGCAAGTTCACAGCATGGCTCTCTGGGTGACATGGGAGGCAGGTGGGGAGTAGACATAAGAAGAATCTAACCCCCATGCAAAGGACCTGGTATGTCTCTGCCATTTACAGCCACGTGACCCTGGGTGAGCTCCTCAGTCTCCACATGTGAATAACTAGAGCAACAACAGTGTCCCAGCCACTTCCCCACAAGGGAGCTAATGAGCAGCAAAGCACCTTGATGCAAACAAAGTGGGGAAGTGGAGATGGATCACGGGGCTGCAAGGACCTTGCATCAATTTCACAGACAACCCGCACTATGGCAACAGCCAAGAGATCAAGGGTTGTAAAGACCCAGATAGCTGTTTCATTCTATGGGGCAGGTCCAGCCTGGGCTCCTTTCCTTCAGATGAGCATGTTGCAGCTGGGCAGAGCCCTCCCCAGGAAGTAGGGACCACCTGCCATGCCTGTGCCCCTAGCCTGTTCACCTCAGAGTCCTTGCTAGGACATTTATTGGACATGTCATATGCAGCATGTCCAGAACTGGATTCCTAACATCTTCTCCCCTCCCCATCTAGACCTGCTCCAAACCAGCCTGCCCACCTCAATGGATGGCAAAAATTTCCTCCCAGATGCCATGGCCAGAACCCTTGACGCAACCCCTCAGCGAATCCTGTCTTCGTACCTTCAAGTTATTATGTTGAACTATGTGAAAATGCCATCTTCAGCTGTTCTTGTCTACCAAAAATGCAACTCTATCCAGAATCTGACCACCATTCCACCTCCACTCTGTCATTTGCCTGGACTGTTACCGTAGCTCTTCTCTGGTCTCCCTGCTTCCACCCCTACCACTCACCCCTTCTATCTTTTTCAACACAGGAACCAGAGCTCTTTTTGAAACTTAGGCCAGACCATGTCATTCCCTAGTTAAAATCTGCCCCTGGCTCTCCATTTCACTCAGAGGAAATGCCAAAATCCCCACATGGCCCACAAGACCCTCATTATGTGCTCTCTCCAGCCCATCTCCCCCACTTTCCTTGTGCCCCAAGTCCCTGGCCTCCATGCTGGTCCTCAAGCACACCAGGCCTGCTCCTACCTCTTGGAGGCAGCACCATCCCCCAGAAGGCTACATGCCCCACTCCCTCAATGCCTACAAGTTCTTGCTCAGGTCTATGAAATGGGGATGTATCCAAGAACATATATAGGGTTGGCAGACAATGGTCCTATAAGTTTATGTGAATGATCAGAATTCCCAGGTATATAGTGGA